AGATCAAAAGTTACCTCAAGGTGCATTTACTGTTAACATGACTCGATCAAACAGATTAGAGGAAAGAAGAGAAAAGATCGAACTGACAAAGAACTAATGAAGATGGTACAAAGGTGGGCGCCAAGATCCCTCTGGGATCTCTTGTTATTAATGGCTTATATTTTGTTTATTTCCCTATTTTGATGACACTTTATCTTCTATTTATTGTGACAGAGTTAATTACTAAAACATGTTCATTTCACACTACCAGGAAAACTCCAGAGAACATTACCATCAGTATTAGACAACTTCAATATCATTTTAGCATAGAAGAGTTTTGGTGATTGAACCATATTATAGAAGATTATGTAAACATTAGTGTAGATACACTAAGCTGAAAATTATATACTGAAATGTAAAGTGTTTAAGTTTTTGAATCAAATTAGGAATTGAATCTTTAAAGGGCTCAAATCAACTAAATTTGTACAGAATTATATCTTTTGCTATCCTGGAATACTGGGGAGACATGGCTGAACTTTCATTTGGCTCCTACAGTTAATGAGGTTACCTCCCCCTCATCATGCGTTTAGAATCGGTACTTGTACAAGTGTGAGATGTAATCATCAAGATGTTCTTAAGCTTTTTTGTGATGTTTGTTTTTGAGATTTTGATAAAATTCTTTTATATGTGTATCTGTGTGCATTCTGCTGAAATATTTCCAAAGGATTGATGAGGTTTGTTTTCAAATTTATCTGCATGAAAATCATTTTTGTACCAAAAAATGTGTATTTGAAAGATTTAATATTTTGTGCTGTATACAAAACATTCCTTGCTTTAACAATTTTGATTTGCCTTTCTAATCTAGTAACATTGGAACCTTGTAAATCCATATTTAGGTATTGCAGAAAAGTTGCTCTGTCTGTTCCACTGTTCCAGGTCTGAAGTTCTACTAGTGCTGGTACACAATCTCTCATTGAATTCTACCAGAATAAAGTAACTGATATGTTGCAGAATATTTCTATTAATGCATTACTGCTCAAGTGCTGTACAATTTATAAAGGAGACACGGTAGTCTAGTGGTAGGATGCCAGGCTCATCCAAAGGGTTGCGGGTTCGAGTCACGTCACAGCACTGTGTTGTATCTTTAAACAAGATACTTTACTCTGCTTGTTCAAGTCTACTCAGCTGTAAATGATTACATGGTTGGGCAGTGCTGGAATTGTTGAATTCTAGCTGTGTACGCCAAAATGGCAGCACAGGCTGTATGCTCCCCAGGGTGTATATTTAGGTGTCAGTCTCTACCATTGTGTACATGTTTTGGGTGAAAATTCATGATTTTTAGAGGATGTTTGAATTCCAAGGACATTGTTGTGTACAGTTATTTTTGCTGAAGAGAACATTTGTTTCTTACAATCATAACAGATATATTTACCTTATCATGGCAGCCATTTTACGTTCTCCTTAACATCACATTTACTTGTATAATAACTATATACATCCATGTTTTATATGAGCTTTGAATATTTGATTTTGTTGGCTTGATGTACTGCATTATGTCCTTGTTCACATAGCATAATGTCTAGTCTGAAAATATCTGACTCCAAATACTTTTGGACTACAGAGACAGTTGGTGCTGAATAGCTGTAGTCAATAGTCAGTGGCTGTGTCCTGGGTATGGAACCAGCCTCAGCAATTGATGGATACATACTTTTGAGGGAGCTAGAACATTCTGAATTTGTTCTCGGTAATTATAATGTTGCAGAAAATGTACAAACATAACAAGTACCCTAAATATTAGCACAGCGGATAAGCTCCCTGATTTATCATCAAGAGGTCTGGGAATCAAATTCCCATTAAAGATGTTTATGAAATTACAATAAATATATACATCTGTCATAAATAATTGTTTCTTATAGTCAATGGTCAAGCAACTCCAAAGTCAGAAACATATTTAACCAGTTTGGAACTCTTTTTTGTTGGGAGATTTAACAAAGAGAGCTGGGACTCTCAACCTTAACAAATCCAATGTATCCCTACCATTGAAACTAGATGAGAAAATCCAACACTTTATACAGAAATAAATGTGTTGTTCATCCGAGAAATTGTTAACAATCATGCCAAATAATACTTATCCTAGAAGTTGCGTGTGTTTATGTTTGACACTCTATGATGTCAATGTACTTGTTTTGTTTATTGTTGTACATTGTGTTATTTTTGGAATGAAATGTGTCTCTAACACTAAATAATGTTAATTTGAACCCTGTTAGGTAAAGCAGCTGTATTTTTCAGTTCAGCAATTTCCTCTAATAAAAACAACAATTTGTATGTTTTTCATGTTTTTTATTGTATTTTAAAATGAAATATGAAAAATTATGCCATGACATTGTGTATTTCACAGGAATTACTTACACTATACGTGATCTGAATCCTATCTTTTGACTAGTTTGTATCTGAGAAAACATTGATCTTCATTGAAATTTGTATCATTTTGGTGCGCGATGTGTGTTTGTGTTACACCTTATATATCTTGTTACTGTTGTGCCTTGTGTTGTGTTTTGTTTGTAATGATGACACTGTCATCCTTAAAACTGCTGCATGCTGATATTGTGTGTATCTTATCCATTTCAAGTTTATTTATCCTTTTTGGGTGCATGGCAATTTTCAAAAGAGAAAGAAAAAATAAAAACTTTTAAACCATTTCATTTTCTGTTGTGTGTATCAAATAAAGGTTTTAAAACACACCAGCTAACAAATCAAAATGAAGTTCGATTGCCATCCCAGCTGACAAATCATAATGAAGTTTGATTGACATCCCAGCTGACAAATCATAATGAAGTTTGATTGACCTCCCAGCTGACAAATCAAAATGAAGTTTGATTGACATCCCAGCTGACAAATCATAATGAAGTTTGATTGACATCCAAGCTGACAAATCATAATGGGGGGGGCCACATTAAGGAAAACATAGCAAATTCTTCAAAAACCTTCTTCTTCTGTACGAATGACAGGATTTGTCCAAATTTGGTATGACGCATCCTTGGGTGTCAGCCTTTGTAAAAGTCACTGAAACCAAAGAATGAAACTGTTGGGAGTGGACCCAGGTCAATAAATCGCAGGTTAATATGCCTTAACTTAGACTCATGTTATTGACTGGGATAATCCATAGTGGTGGACAGAGAAAGCAATCAGTGTTCAAGTGGCAGATAAAGGAAGTCATCTGGATACACCTCAGTGGGCCAGTTTGAATCGAGATGAGGGGGCCCTTGACAGATACTCAACAAAGTGTAGCAGAATTTATTTGAGGTGTCAGAGTATTGCCATCTTGTGTACATTGTTAACACCTAAGTTTACAATACTCAAAGTGGAGCTAAATTAACGTGCAAATTTGATAGTTATCTGGTAAACATCTAGGCATGTTGCTGCCATGTAAGCAAATAAGCAGTTGCATGCACATCAGAAATCCTCACATGATTTGTATTTATAGTGAGAGGTCCGTGATAGTGATTAATTGTTTGTACAGACAGATTATATGATTTGGATGCTTTTGTCCATTGTTATTAACCATAGATTTTCACAATGACTGCTGACAGTCTCGGTCCTGCGTATTCGGCATACCTGTATATTATTATACTATTAGGAATTCATACTTAAGTTATTTCCTGTTATATCAATAACAATTCAGCTTCTTTTTCTGTTCTACATTCAGGAATTTCTTACAGTTAGTAAGTTTATAGTAAATCAATTTCTCTAGATCTGTATTTAAATGTTTTGGAAATATCATGAACTGTCAGTGGTAGCATAAATAAATTATTATGAGTCTTAACAAAAGGGTTAAGAAATATATGTTAAACTGTATTTAATAAATTTGACGAAACACGAATCCTTAATAATCTTGACTACATTATTCTAATTTCGCGCCAAAATTTCTTTTGGATCCAATACGTATTCGTACGCAATTCTCATTTATATCCTGATGTTTGACCATCGAATATTATACAAACACATTTACTATTTTGATCTAATATAATTCTATGAAAGTCGAATTAAGAGCATGTTCGCGAAATGTTTACTTAGTAATGTTAGATCTATTTTATGTACATTTCACGTACGCCGCCGGAAGTCAATATTTCGTCTGCTTATTGCATCCGGCAAGACTGAAAAGAAAACAATGCCTCTAGCCCGTGCACAAAAAAGGAATATCGGTGGTTCTCCAAAACAGCAAAAACAACATACAAAGTCGAAGATAGGTCTAGACGATCATGATGATGACGACGAAATGGAATCCAAGGAAAACAGTCCGGACAGTAGCCCTTCAAGAGGTTCGTTTTTGATCAATGAAATAGGCCTAAGTTAGGCCTACTTTGCCACCGTGTCGGTAAACGGAAGTAAGTTTTTATTGATTCAGAGCAACCGAGAATTGGAGCACAGCTAGGGGTTCTTTAGAAACGTCTGAAATACACATATGATATACTATGGCTCATTTCTGATATTTGTGTGAAAATTTTCAAATCCAAAATAAAATTGAAACTCGGAATTACATTTTTAGACGAAACTCCAATCATTCCTAGACTGGGAAAGAAAAGGGGAGCTGAAGACCATGGAGAGTTCAAGTAAGTGTGATAATCTATAAGATGTCTTACAATCCTTCAGATATTTATGAAAGCTAATTCCCAGACTTCTTGTGAATGTTCACACATGAACTCATGGGGGCTCTCATGTATGCTGCACATCATTTCATTTGGCAGTGGCGGATCCAGAGACCTATCTGGGGGAGGGGGTTTCCATGTGGGGGGAAATTGAGGAAAATAGTGAAAATACATGATTTTCAGGCTGTGAGGTTTCTTGAAGCCCAAAAAATCCCTCTGTGTCCGCCACTGTTTGGGCCATATCACTTCGGTGTAACTCAGCTCCTGACCCCATTCGCAGAGGGAGCTGTAGCATGTAGGGGTCGTTACACAGCTCAGCTGCTTCCTGTCACCCCATTAACCCGTCAACTCAACAAATGAACTACAATTGACCTTTGGCACAGTCCGGTTCCGCTGTGGGCTCCACCAGAATTACGTCATATGCCACAGGTGTTTTCACACAGTCCATACAGCCCTATAGTATATATAGACTGTCAATATTATTTGACATATATGGACACTATCAATAATGCATGCAAGTTTTCGGACGGTCCTGCGCCACTTCATCAAGACTTCAAAATTCTAATAGGTTAAGCGCAGTGTCTGTGAGTACCCTTATGTTGCCAAATGTTGTATTCATGAATAAATGCTATTAATCTGAACTACTTTGCTTGTTGTTAGCTCACCTTGCCCGAAGGGCCAAGTGAGCTTATGGCATGGTGCGGCGTCAGTACGGCGTCAACTTTTTACTTTAAACAACTTCTTCTCAGTAACCAAAAGGCATAGGGTGATGATATTTGGCCAGAAGCATGCTGGGATGAAGGGCTACCAAGTCTGTTCAAATAAATGACCTTGACTTATATTCAAGGTCACAGGGGTCAAATATGTATAAAACCTTTAAACAACTTTTTCTGAATAACCGAGACAGCTAAGGTGATGATATTTGGCCGGTAACATGCTGGGATGAAGGGCTACCAAGTTTGTTCAAATGAATGACCTTGACATATATTCAAGGTCACAGTGGTCAAAATATGTTTAAAATCTTTAAATGATTTGTTCTGTATAGGGTAATGATATTTTGCTAGAAGCATGCTGGGTTGGAAGACTATATATAAACTCTGTTCAACCTAATGTCCTTGTTCGACATTCAAGGTCACGGGCGTCACACAGTTTAAATCTTTTGATAGGTTCTTATGAATCCAACACTGATATTCTACCTGTAGTTGTATTTTAGTCCACTTTTAAGATTACAAGTGTGAGATTAATACCAGGTGAGCAATTCAGGCCCATTGGGCCTCTTGTTGTTTCATAAAATCAGCTTTCTACTTAGTACATGTACTTGCATCAACCAGTAAAACTGTACAACATTGCATCGTGTGACCATAGCTGAATGTGTAAACAGATAAATATCAAAATTATGGAAATTTCAATCATGTAAGAAATTTTTGTTTCATGTTTTCACTCTTTTTTGTCCACTTCATTTTCAGCAATGAAATGCAAAAGATGCTGGAATGCTTTGGAGGTAAGAGGTGATGAGTTGCGGCGAGTGACACAAAATTGCTATGAAACTATTTGTAGCCTTTCTTGGTGACAAGAGGGTTTTCTTATAATGTTTCAATTATAGTTTGATGATTGTTGTGGTCAAGGATTTTCATTGGTTCCTATTAGGTCAAAGGACCCTTCACCCTAAAATGTTGGAGACCTCACAGTTCATATACATTTTGTAGAAGTGAAATTCCCTGCAGTCTTAAACAATTAAAAATCCTTTTGATTGCAACTTCATCACATCATGGACTGGTTTCCTTTGCTTTTGGCTTCTTCCAGTATGTCAACCAATTGTGAAATTGCGATGAAGCTATAGAAAATAGTCCAACCACTGAAAGTACTTGCCACTGATCAGTAAGGAAGTTTCATCACTCCATCGACTTCATTTCTTTACATATTTTCATCAAAATTTAATACCTGGGATAAGTTCTTTTTTCATGGTCCCCAGGTTAACAGTAAGGTCATTGCCAAGGGGTCATTTATGATTTCTAGTCCTGTTAAGCATTGTTCAACTTCTTTGTTTTTTCCAATTATTTCTTTTTAGAGTTAGTATAAAATTAATGCTACTTAAGGTCAAGGGGTAAACTGTATTACCTGGTATTCTTTTGTAGCTGACATTACAAAGACTTTAGTCAATAAAAGAAAACGTCTTGAACAATTCACTCAAAATTCGCTGAAGACTAGCAATAAAAAAGTTGAAGAAATCTGGAAAATGCAGCAAGTTGAAAGGTGAGTTTCTTTCAATATTCACCATTTGAAAATTGCATATTATATAAATATGACATTCATTAGCAGGTGACAGTGAATATTGTCAACCCGAGAAAACCATTGTCACCCGAGGCGAAGCCGAGGGTGACAATGGGTTTTTGAGGGTTGAGACTATTCACTGTCACCTGCTAATGAATGTCATATCTATTTTGTTACACCAAAAGTCAATGTAGCTCAGAAACGGCAGCAAACCTCGATAATGACATCTTGTTTGTTGATAGTCTGCTGTTTACAATCGCTATCGCACCAGCGCTTGATGAAATTGGCTCTTGCCGTCAAACGTCCTTGTGACCATCACGTTCGGGAAACGAAGCGGTGCACGCACATTTTTTGCGCATGTGATATTTTTCACTGTCTCATGGCAATATCACCCGCGCCCCTTAAAACCAATGTATTTTCGGAGGGTGACAGAGATTTTTGTTTAATTTTCTCCCAACCAATCAAATAGCTAGAAATTCACTTGAGGTGTAACAATTATATATATTTCCCTAGAAAAAATACCAATGTATATCATTTAAATAACAGCATATAGCCTACCAAATGTATAATCCCATTTTGAATAATATAGAACTTGTTTGACAGATGTATAGGAATATTCTTTTCAAAAATGCAAAACTATGAAATTGTATTTAATTAAATGAGTTGTTATTAATTCTTTGCAGAAATAAGTCTTTTTTCCATAGTAATACATAAATGTACTAGGCACATGCCTGTGAACCTATATTACAAAGAAGGTACAGACAGTCTGATAGATTTCTTTTCTTTTCAAAGACCAAAACTGTATTGAAGAGTCTTGAATTTCTTAGTCACTGATATAACCACCTTGCTTAACCATTACAGTTACTTCAACAAAATCAACTAAGCATCTTTCATAGGATAAGATTAAAAAAAAAGCTATACTTGTAAACAGAAAGAAAGTTGACAGTGATGCTGCGATAAGTAATGAGCAATGTTATTTTGTTCATCTCGTGTTGCGGTGGAGGGATAGAATCAATGAAGTCAAATTGTTGCTTTCCAAAATACCCCTTCAAGTAAATCTCTGATAACTTAATTCCAAACCAAATGGTTATTTAAATAAACTGACCTTGTCAAATTTTCTTCATCTTATAATTTACATTTCAGAGGCAAGCTGCACTCCGAGTACTGTAGACAGGTAACCACTGTGTTCAACCAATGGGAAGCTGATCTTGAGAAGACAAAAGAGCAAGAGGAAAAACTTGTGGTATGTTTGGTGTTTTAATCTTTCTAGGAGAGCAGCATTTAATATAGCCATTTACAAATTACAGCTATAATTAAAGTTCCATTTAAAAGCTAAATAAAACTTGAAATTAGGAAAGATTCCTCTTTAGTCATATTTTTTTTTCTTCAATGCTATATCAAGTCATTTATGTTGATGCAAAAGTATTCAGATAGTTATTTGATTTTATTGAGACATATTTTCTAGATGAATATAAAATTTCCTTTTGACAGGACATTTTAAATCAAATGTCTTTGATATTTCTCATAATAATACATATTGTCATGTAAGATATTTATTATAGAATTTTACAATCAGTAACAATGTTCTATCAGTCAACTGAATTGCAAGTCTCATATAGATCTGCTTGAAATAATAGGTTAAATATTTTTAGCTGTCTTAAAAGTCCCATTTAGTTTTTGAAGACAGCTAGGTTAACTTTGCTAAAATTAAAAACTCACTCACCCAAAACTGAAAATCATGTTTCTAATCATAAGTTATAGTAAAGTCCTTAAGATGTGTATACTTCTTCAATTCCAGACTCTTTTCAAGCAGCAACAAAAGCTTTTCCAGCAGGCCAGAGTGGTTCAAAGTCAAAGACTTAAGACTATCAGACAGCTTCATGAACAGTATGTAAAGGTAAGGTTATCACTAAAATCTTTACATTTAGTATATTAACTACAATATTAACAATACATCGCCTNTTAAAAAAAAATACATCGCCTTTCTTGATTTCAAAAGCCAGATCAGCATGACCATACAGGAATATCTTGGAGGGGGGACCATAGGGCCATTGACCCCTCAAAACTGACATTGACCCCTCCATGTTCCAATTTTCTTTTCATTTACATAGAATGGCCCCTCTTAAATTTTATCTTGATTAAAAATTGCTGCAATGACCCACTGCTCTCAAATTCTTGGATTTTCCTGCTATTTACTTGAAATAGATTGCAGACTTATACTTTCAAATATATTCCAGACCATAACTTCTGAATTTTCACATCTTTTAAAAAACTTTGCAGAAAAATTACTTTAAAAATATTAATCCCATATTGAAATAACTTATTTATTGCCATAAAATGCAATTCGGACAATAACTAGCACAATTTTCAGCCAAAATGCAAATTATTTGTTTGGCATAAACTATTGAAAGTCTAGTACTAGTCCAGAACAGGATAAGGTGTCTCTGGCAAAAACCTTATCAACAACACAAGTTTGACCAAAGTGATGTTAACTCTATGGTACATAAATCTCTAGTTAGCATGCACATTTTCCAGGCAACGGTGAAAAACCCTATTCATATTTACAATACTCATGATTTTATGTAGACTATAACTTGTGCAATATCTTACAGACATGACAAGTACGAGGACCAAGAAACAAAGAAAAGTCAATTGCAATAATGCTGAATTGCCTTTAAGTTTATTTAGCAGTCAATGACAATCGCTGGGGTTACTAGATAACCAGAGGCTTACTTTGCTCTAATTATTTGTCTTATGAAGGGAGTCATGCACAGTGGATCTGGTTTTTCAATATTTCTTCAGTTAGTCTGAAAGAACATTTTAATGTATTTTCTTCTCAACAGGGAATGGATGATCTGGGAACATGCCACAACTCTCAGCAGTCAACTGTTCAAACAGAATTGAAGAAAGAAATGACACTTTTGCAGAAAAAAATTCTGATGGATACTGTAAGTTTTATCAATGTGGATGATTCTTTTTTAATCAACATTAAAAATACCTATTTGGTTAGATATACTTTGCTTTGTTTTACTCTGATCATTTTATTAAAGTTTATTATTGGTATAACATATCAAGAAGAAGATCAAAGGATGAGTGTCTATAAGGCCCTTTTTTGGGCCTTGGTATATTCTGATATTTACCTCCTTATTTTGTTCAAAGATGTCCTATTGTATGACATGCGGAAAAGCTAAGGTAAAACTTTGACCGAAAGTGGGTTTCGAGGGGTACCAAAAGGGGTAGGGTAAATCACAAATATAGTTTGCTGTTTTCAAAATGAGCTTAAATACCAAAATAATACCATTTCTGTTTTTGAAAACATGTATAAATTAGACAAGCATAATATGTAAAAGAATGAAAAATGACAGAAATTCAATCGTCACTTAACGATTGTTTATATAAAACGAAGGATTAAGACAGGGGGTTGTTTTAGGTAATTTCCAAATGAAAAGTGTTTTGATTTCTCAATAATTTCCTTTCTAGTTAATATTTTGACTTGAAATTTTCAAATTTTCTCATTTAAGTAGACTTACATAAATTGCATATTGACTACATACTTTCCTTTTGTTTTATACCGAGTTATGGCTTCTGGACACATCAAACTTGGCTATTTCAAATGTCTCTTAAACTTAAGTGAATTAATAGGTGCAGGACACCCTTTATATGCTATAAGTATAAGATATCAATTGTAAGTATTGTATATTATATATATCATATAATATTTGCTCAACACCTGTGGCTAAAGTGAGTTCCAGGTCCTGATTTGTCTTTTTGCTTATCAAAGTTAACTTACAAATCAAAAATGGCATTTGCCACCAAAACTACTGTAAAATGATTGATTTAATATATGAAGTTTGTTTTGCTAGTAATTTTAAGTCTCCTAGCCTCAAGGAAAGTATCTGCTTTAATCGTTAAAGTAAACCGATTTCATTGTTTTATCAAATGTTCTGCCTATTTCCAATGTTTATCTGCTGATTGTACATAAAAGGCATTTGGGGATAAGCATGTAACTTGGCATAGATATTAGTTATATGATGATATTTAAATGTATGGAGATTAAACAGGCTCAGTAGAGTGTTTATAGTATTAAGAGGGGCGCTTGACTTGCTAAACTGACCAAAAGTTGCATTCAATGCTAGCTGCTACACCGATGGCATGGTTAACTGCATTTGATCCTTTTACTTTACAGCAACAGCAGGAAATGGCCAATGTGAGAAAGTCACTCCAGACGATGCTGTTTTAAAACCGTGGAATATGGTTCAAGCAAAGTTGACATGCATTAGCTAGGTACACGGACTATAATAAATCATGCATTTGGCTGAATGCTTTTTAATTGAACTTGTGTTAAATAATTTATAGCAGTATTACATATTTATAAAATTATTTTCTGATGTACATAACTATTAAAGAAAACAATGCTAAAAAGTTTACATTTCTTCTTTGAGAAAACATTCAATGAAGCTGAATCCTGAAATTCATGCTTGAAGCCGATTTATACTAAAGACATAAACGAGGAACCATAATTATTTTCGTACACACCACCTAAAGTCATCCTCGATACTCCAGGGGTTATGCTCACTTTCGCTCTCTTCACCCCTGGTATATGTCATAGCAAAATTGAAGGCACACTGCTACTTATTTGATTGGTCTCCGGTGAAAAATCCTGACCAATCAGTAGGCTGATACATGTCCTTTGAAGATTACAGAGGAACGACACCTGACTTCAGAGCCAGTCCATTTTACCGTTACGCAACCAACATATCCATTTGATGTACATCAAAGGATCAAACCAGGCTTCTTGTCTCACCCACAAGGTTGTACAGGCTGAGCCTTCGATTTTGCTATGACATATTCCAGGGGTGTAGAGAGCGAAAGTGAGCCTAACCCCTGGATTATCAAGGATGCCAAAAGTTGGCTGGTGAGTTAACTTTTAACTTCTTGCTTTGACATATCAATACAGAGTAGACAGTGGCATAGAGGCACTGTCTAATGATGACCTACAATTCTGTTAAGTTTTGCCAGTTTAAAGTGATGCACACTACAGGACACAGTCTGCTGTTACCGTTGATACGTTTCAATGACCTTGATCTCCATGATTTGGACATGAACATAGTGTAGACAATCGGAACACACTGTTCAGTCATGATAAACACTGAAATGAACATTGCTTAAAAGGGCTCGGACATCATAGCAGCCTCAACTCTTGCGACGTTGGTTTCAGGGTAGGCGTGTGCCTATGACGTTTAAAGAAAGGTTCTTAAGCCTGATCAACGAATACAATGCATTGAATCATAATACTGTAGTTGCCCTGACGGTACAGATCTGAAAACTTTAAATGCCATAAATCATCATGCACCAATCTTGGCAGTGAGGGATTTTGACCTTGGTGACGCTGATCTGAAAGTGACGCCGACACGATACTTCAAACAATTATGAAGTGAGTTCATAAACTAATGCTCAGTGACATTAGTGTTAGATAAATTGCACTATCCCCCAGGGAGATTGAAGGTCATTCCTTGTTAAAAGAAGTCGTGAATGGCATTTTCACCCGAAGACAACCCAGGTTCGGGTATCCCCTTGTTAAACATTAACTCCGTACAGGAAACAACGTTTGGTCACGGAAACCACTGAAACAGGAAAAGGAAAATGCATGGTCAGACCGGATTTCAAACCCAGGACCTCCTAATTCTAGATTGACGCTCTACCTATTGGTCTACCTGGTTGCCGGCGATCGACCCAGTCAAATTCTGCTACATTGTTAAGCACTGAGTGGGACACCATTGCGAATGTTTGCTATCCAGTTGTAGGTATCATTTTCCTTGGGTTATATGAAATTTGAGAGCCTCACTCAGGGCTATACCGGTTATGAAACACATCGGTAACAAGGCCAAGGGACTGATGTAGGGGATGCTGGAAGATGATACCTTTCCAAACGAAACCCCCTTGTTATTTTTCACCACTTATCAGTTCACTTCTTTGTCGAATAATTTCCTGATAAACTGTATAGTTTCCAGATTTTATTCAATCATTCGTGGAAAACAGAAAAACTATTACCTCGTTCATATGTGATGCTATGTCTTGATCTGTGACAACAATCGGAGATCTTGAAAGGGGATCGAAAACGTCCAGTTCCTTGTCGATGTACTACAAACAGTATGTCAAAGTAGTCCACAACATCTCTGATACCTGGTATATATCACCTCGACCCATTCATATGTCAGTGAGGCTGCACTATCTCGACTATCTCAAGCTGATGAAGTAGGGGGGATTGACTCGGAACTAGCTTGCCTCTCTCAGACACTGGTGGTCAGAGACAGGTATGAGTACAGCGTCAAAGAAGCTGTGAACTAGTTCGACCCACTCCAAAGTTTGTGTACACTCTGACGCTGTACTTCATTACCATACGACCATATGAAGAATTTGAACATCTTTGGCACGTCATTAAATGACCTAAGCGGTTGATAGGACGTTAAACAAACTGGCAATGATCAGGAAAAAATACAACGCTATTGGAGAAAGCCACCAAATTTTGAAACTAAGCCAATTTGCAGCCGTTTATTAGCTCCCCTGGCCCGAAGGGCCAAGTGAGCTTATGGCATGGTGTGGCATCCGTCGTCCGGCCGGCGTCAACTTTTTACTTTAAATAACTTCTTCTCAGTAACCAAAAGGGCTAGGGTAATGATATTTGGCCAGAAGCATGCTGGGATGAAGGCCTCCCAAGTTTGTTCAAATAAATGACCTTCAACCATTTACAAGGTCACAGGGGTCCAATATGTTAAAATCTTTGAACAACTTCTTCTGAATTACCAAGAGGCCTAGGGTGATGATATTTGACCAGTAACATGCTGGGATGAAGGGCTACCAAGTTTGTTCAAATAAATGACCTTGACTAATAATCAAGGTCACATGGGGTCAAATATGTTAAAAACCTTTAAACGACTTCTGAATAATAACCGAGAGACCTAGGGTGATGATATTTGGCCAGTTACATGCTGAAATGAAGGGCTACCAACTTTGTTCAAATAAATGACCTTGGTTTATATTCAAGGTCACTGGGGTCAAATATGTTAAAAACCTTTAAACGACTTCTTCAAAATAACTGAGAGGCCTAGGGTGATGATATTTGGCCAGAAACATGCTTTGATGAAGGGCTACCAAGTTTGTTCAAATAAATGACCTTGTTATATATTTATGGTCACTGGAGTCAAATATCTTTTAAACCTTTAAACGACTTCTCCTGAATAATCAAGAGGCCTAGGGTGATGATATTTGGCCAGTAACATGCTGGTATGAAGGGCTACCAAGTTTGTTCAAATAAATGACCTTGATTTATATTCAAGGTCACTGGGGTCAAATATCTTTATAACCTATAAACAACTTCTGAATAACCAAGAGGCCTAGGGTGATGATATTTGGCTAGTAACATGCTGGGATGAAGGGCTACCAAGTTTGTTCAATTAAATGACCTTGATTTATATTCAAGGTCACTGGGGTCAAATATGTTTAAAACCTTTAAACGACTTCTTCTGAATAACCAAGAGGCCTAGGGTGATGATATTTGGCCAGTAACATGCTGGGATGAAGGGCTACCAAGTTTGTTCAAATAAATGACCTTGATTTATATTCAAGGTCACTGGGGTCAAATAT